CCGGGCCGTCAACAAGCATCCATCACATAACATACCAGAGCAAGCAGAACCTGACAGACCAGAAATCGGCATATCACAGCATAACATATCGTAACCGAGAATACCATAACACACCTTGACATAAATCCCACCAGCCCTCTGGGCGTAGGTGGTCTAGAACAGATCCTCTTCCACCCCTCCCTCTTCCCCCTTGGGGAGGGGTTTACCCCTCCCCCTACCCCCTCCCCTGGACCTGGACGGGGGGGGCCGCTGGTAGTTAGAGCGTCCCAGATGGCCCAAGACGGCTCCAAGAGCGCCTCAGAGAACCCAAGATGAGCTCCAAGATGGCTCAAGATAGCGCAAGATCGCTCGAGATGGCTCCTAAGATGGTTCCAAGAAGCCCAAAGACGGCCCCAAGATAACTCCAAGTGGCCAAACAGCTCCCCAAGGAGGCCCCGAAGAGGCCAAAATCGTCCCAAAACCTAAGGAAAATCAATGATTTTTGCTTTCTCGCCTTTTCGCTTCCGATGGCCATCCGAGGCCTGGAGATGGCTCCAAGATGGCCCAAGAGGGCCCCAAGAGAGCCCCAAAAGAGCCCCAAGACGGCCCCAAGAGCGCCCAAGAGCACTCCAAGAGCGTTCCAAGAGGGGTCCAAGAGGCGATTTTAGGGGCTTCCGAGGGGGGGCGCTAATTCACCCCCCCCTCTTGTTTGATCGACTCCCTCCAAGATGGCCCCAAGAAGCGCCCAGGAAGCCCCAAGAGGTCCCAAGATGGCCCCAAAATGGCCCCAAGAGGCCCCCAAGAGGCCCCCCGGAGGCCCCCAAGAGACCCCCAAGAGGCCCCAAGAGCCCCCCCAGATGCACCCAAGATGCTCCAAGAGGCCTCGGCGAGAATGCCTAATCATTGATTCTACACAGGTTTTAGCCACATGGAGGCCTCTTGGGGGGGGGCACGGATTAAGATGACTCCAAGAGCGTCTGGGAGAGCCCAAAATGACCTCCAAGATGGCTCAAGATATCCCAAGATGTCTCATAATGGCTTCCTCTGTGTGCTGCCCACTTCTCTGATCGAGGCAATTCCTCTGGGCATCGTTTCTGGATGGGCTGGTGGGGATTCGCGAAGCGACAACAATTTTCATACCATGACACATCACCACATACCATTTCATACCACGATAGCAGAGCATAGCGACGACGAACACGACATTCAACAATATGGCACAACAGGACAGAGTAAAACGCGAGCGTGACATAACATGACATAACATACCAAAGCAATATCCTGACACAATCGAGCATCACATAACATCACAAAACATACCAGAGCAGAACATGACACACCATACTACGACATATCATAACATACCATAGTATATCTGAGCATCATATAACACACGTTGAAACACAACATCATATCATGACACAACATCACATATCATACCACGACAGCAGAGCATAACGACAAGTACTAGCAGAGCATATCAAACTATACTATACAGAGCCTAGCCGTCAACACAAAGACCATCACATAACAGACCAGGGCAGAATATGGCAGACCAGACGACGACATACCACAACATACCATACCATAACCGATCATAACATACCACACCATGACAAAACATATCATACCATATCATAACAGCATCTCAGAACATTTCATAGCACGACAGCAAAGCATAGCGACACATACTAGCAGAGCAGACCATAATGTAATATACCTAGCCGAGCTGTCAACAGCATCACAAAACAGAGCATACTAGAGTATGGCCTGAAATAGTGCCGATCGTGCCATGACAGAGCAGAGCATATCATGTCATAACATAGTGCCATAGGGCATCTCATACCATACCATCTCAGAGCAGATGGTGATATATATATATGATAATAACATAACGTCCTCAATCAGAAGAGTAACACATAAGTGACGACGAACATCATAACACACGACGCAACTAACGTCACAGGCGTCACGACGTTACGCCGGCCCGTCGAGAATTGAACAGGACAAATTAAAACATAACAAGAAAGAATGTAACTACATGGAACACGGTTGAACCGTTTTTGAATCCAGAAACGGCAGTTGTGCAGTAGTGGAAAGGAGCACCACGACAGAACAGGACATAGCAAAATATCCTAACAGAGCAGATCCTACTATACTAGACTGAGCAGAGCCCTCAATTGCATCACGGAACAGAGCATACTACAGCATAACATGACAGAACATATCATTTCCTAACATGGTGCCGCAAAGCAGAGCATAACATAACATACCAACGTATCCTGCGGCAGAAGCCACCTGGCCCGACCGCCCGACCGCCCGAGAACAAACGTCGGGATCGCTCGAAGCAAAATAGATCACCCCAGACCACTTTTCCACGGTCCCACAGCCCGAAAACTGTCCCTGGAGGCGGACACATGCAACAAAAACTTCCCGAACCCAAAAACTTCGAACCTGCCCGCCCTCTCTGTTGACCCGAACCAGTGCTGGGCCACCTCGAACGCCCAAATGGCTCCAACTTGAATCCGGTTTTTCTTCATCGCTCACCTTAGAGGGGCTCAAAGACACACGAACAAATAGACACACGCGTCCCAAGATTTCCCATTTTTTCCATACTTCCTGGATGTTCGTCGTCCCCTCCACTTCCCATAGGTTCCATACCGCGGCCACCCGCCCCCAAACTGTCCCACTGATCCCCGAGAGTCCCGGGTGTCCCGCCTCGCACCCTCGACGAACACGACAGATCATAACATGACAGAACAGAACATGACTGTACGGAACAGAGCATGACATAACATGGCAGAACATAACATAACAATATCATGACAATGTAGAGCATAAGAAAACATCACCGAACATTGCATATCAGAACATGACAGAACAGAGGACGACACAACACAACACAACATTACATGACCGAGCATAACATAACACACTCTGACATAACATATCATACCATTACACAGCATCGCAGGACAACAGAGCATAGCGACGACGAACACGACAGACCGCAAGATGACACAACATAACATGACATAACAACACACGAGCATGACAGACCATGGTAGAACATAACACAGTAATGTTATGACAACATAGAGCGTACCATAACATCACATAACCCACCAGAGCAGAGCATGACATGCCATGACATACCAGTAGACGACATACCACACCATAACATCACATAACCGAACATCTGCGGGGCATTGCGACGACGAACACGACATAACACAACATGGCACAACATAAAATGACATTATGGAACACGAGCATGACATCAAACGACCGAACATGGCAGTGTCACGACAACACAGAGCAGAACAACACATCACTTAACACACCAGAAAAGAACATGACAGAACAGACGACGACACATCACACCATAACATAACAGAGCATACCATAACGCGCCTTGACAGACCATATCATATCAATACACAACATCACAGAGCCCATCACAACCCGACAGAAGAACATAACGACGCACACTAGAAACTCATAGTACGCTATACGGAGCCGGGCCGTCGGGCCGTATAACATCACAGACCATACCATATCAGACCATGACAGACCATAAGACGACATAGCACAGCATGCCATACCATAAACGAGCACAACATAACACACCTTGACAGAACATATCACAGCATGCCACACAGCGAACACGACAGAACGCAACATGACACAACATAACATGCCAACACAGAACACTGGCATGCCATAACATGGCATAACATAACACATCGGCGTCATGACAACATAGAACATAATGTACTGTACAGAGTCAGGCCGTCAACAAACATGACATCACATAAGATGCCATAACCGAGCATACCACAACACACCATGACAGAGCACATTATACCATGGCACAACATCACATAACATATTATGACCCGACAACAGAGCATAACGACACATACTAGCAAAACATATCAGAACATACTATACAGGGCCGAGCCGTGAAACAAATAACATCACATACTATACCATATCAGAGCATGACAGAACAGAAGACGACATACAACAACATACAGTAACATAACCGAGCATATCATAAGACAACACGAAAGACACATCACATCATACCATGACAGCATCACACAGCACAACACATCACACCACGGCAACCAATCATAGCGAAACATACCAGCAAACCATATCATAATATACTATACTGAGCCGAACTGTCACAGGCGTCACGTCACGACGCCCGTCGAGAACATAACAAGACATACTATTTCATAATCAGAAGAAGTTTGACTACATGGAACGCGGTTGAACCGTCTTTGAATCCAGAATCAGCAGTCGTGCAGTGGTGGAGAGGAGTACCACGGCAGCACAGGACACAGCAAACTGCACTAACAGAACATACAATGCTGTACTATGCTGAGCAGTGCTGTCGACAGCATCACGGAACGGAGTGTACTACTGCATGACATTAACCTGACAAAACATATGAGGTCCCAACATGGTGCCGCAGAGCAGAGCATAACATAACCTAGGGCTCCCAACTTCGCGCTTCGCGCTCCGCGAAGCGCGAATAACTTCGCGCTCTCGCGCCGCTCCCCGAAAGGGAGAAAAGGAGGACGAGGAGGAGGGGGCGAAGGAACGAGGACCGCGAAGCGCGAAGCGCGAATAACTTCGCGCCCTCGAGGGCGCCCTTGGTAACGTACCAACGCACACTGTGGCAGAAGCCACCCGGCCCCACCGCACGACCGCCGCACCGGCCGAGACCGAAGGGCCCCGCGCGCAGCGTTCCACCAATTGGGCGACCGCGCGCCGTCGGGAACACACGCTTAAGGTTTCGGTGGGTCGACAGGCGCGCTCCACTGCTCGCAGAGTAGCTGCTCGCACATGGCCTGGACTAGCGGCGGGGGACCTACGGCTCCTTACATGAAGGCAGACGGGTTTTTTGTTCAGGCCGTTTGCGCGCAGGCGCTGTCCGAGCTGTGGAGCGCGCTCGGTGAGTGGGGATCGCTCGACGCAAATGCTGGTGTCTTTTTCCCTCCTGCCGC